AAAATCTAACATGGCAGTGAAGCTGTTTGTAGATGGGCAGCATGCTGCGAAGTGTCCCAGATGAGTTACTTAAGACTTGATGTTCATTTTCTAATGTATTAAACTGCTGGGACACTTAAGGGAGAAGTGGTAGAGAGAGGAATTGGAAATATGCAATACTCCAGCTCACTTAGCCAGAATGTGCTTTGTACTTAACATGAATTTCAGCAAGAGGTTTTGTACTCTACTAATTTCATTAAGCAAAACGCTTATGAACAAGAACTTCCTTTATAATGGTGAAAGATTTTTAAAAATCTTTCTTTTTTAAAAATCTTTCTCCATTAAATTACAAAAAATAAAAATAAAATGCTGCCGGCATTAGGATTAGTAGGTCTTGTCTGTGGGATGTGGTTAAATTCTCCAACCCCAGGGCTGCTTTGGTTTACGGTTTGGTTAAAGGTGTGTGTGATTTCCAACCCCACCCCCCAGTGTTCTGTCGGCGGAACCTTATAAGGAACTGAGACTTGGGATAATTAATTTGCCTACAGATAAAATGAGATTGAAATTCAGAAGTACCGTGCTAGGGAAGTAATGAGCAGAGAGACGGAGTCGTGCAGGTTGCTAGCTACCTCAGGGACACAAAGGAGCTGTGCAGTGAGGACGGATGCTGCAAGGAGCTGCCGCGGAGAAGGGAACGTTCCTCAGTCCGTACCCAGCGGAGGGTAGCGGATAACAAAAGTCCTAGGAATTTGGGGTGTAACCTAGGATAGCTTCTCCCTCTGGGATAAACTCTGGTAATGTTGAAATAATGTTTCTTCCTGGCCCAATTAGAGTCTGGGGCTTTCCCATCCCGAATGGTCGTGTAGCTGGGAGGAAGTCTGGCTTTCATTTCTCTGCTGCTTCCAGCAGCCTTGTCTGAGCTGCGCTCTGCTGCACATGCTCAGAGCTCCTCGGATGACTTCATTTTGCGTGAAGTAGGAAGCCCTGTTCTGTACTCATCTAGCTCAGAATCCTCAAGAAAGTGCTGAGTAGGTGCAAGGACTGCTGTTTCGTGGTGCTGTGTTGTGCCATGGAGGGCCTTTCCTAAGCAAATCCATGCTGAGAATTCAAGTGAAATAGCGTGGGCCTTAGGCAGTAGATTCCTGCTTCCTGATTTCACGCTTGCGGAGGCAGTGATGGGGTCTGCCCAGCTGCTCCTGGTGCAACGAGGTATTCAGCTGTCAACACAATTTTTGGATTGCTGTAGTGTGTTTCCATGCTAAGATCAAGCTCAATTTCTCTTTTTTTTTTTTCCCCCTCTCTTTCCAGTGTCAGCGCAAAAATAAAGGCCATTGAAGCGAAGCTGAAAATGATGGCAGAAAATCCAGATGCCGAATATCCAGCAGCACCTGTTTATTCTTACTTCAAACCACCAGATAAGAAAAGGACTACTCCTTATTCCAGAGCTGCCTGGAAATCTAGGAGATGATGCTTATGAATGGATGATGGTAGCAAGAAACACTGCTTTGTATATCTGGAATCCTCCAATGCTTTTGTACTCTTCTAGAGTGAGAAGGATACTGCCACCTGAGCACAACACCACTGCACATGGCACAGGGCTTTGTAACACCTTAGGTGGTCTGCTGAATACTCCTTACTGCCAGTGTAGCTCCACAGCTGAACGCTGTTCAGAAAAGCAGGTTGCATTCAAAGCCTCTGGTGAACATCCAGACAACCTCTTGTTAGCCCACATTCATTAGCAAGATTAGAAACAGTAACCAATGTATGGAGTAAAGCACATCCAAAAAACTCCATTTAACTGATTATTTAATTATATATTTTTTTTTTAACAAAAAGTATTCCAATTTGTGTTTTAAATGGAGGGGAAGCACTTGGTTTCGATTAGCATTCTGTAGTTACCATGGAAAACTTTCTCATCTTAATAAAACTCATTTTAAATAGACTTTGCAACACTTTAAGTAACTGTGCATGCAGTAGTTCATATGCACCAAAGCAAATTTACTTTGCATTTTGACTTGCTAACTTTAAGATAAGTCGTGACACAGCACGGGTATTTGCAGTGTCATCTGGGCTGTAGGTATGTGCCTCTGTGTTGGAATTGGGGTATTTACACACCACTGAGGTTTGTTCTGTGCCATAAGCTTCAGAGTGCAGCAGTGGCATATCTGATGTTTGCGTTCGGTAATCCCCTGTAGTGGTAGCTCTTCCTAAACCAGATGTGACAGCGTGAGAATAACGTTGCAGCCTCAGAGACATCTGTCAAGCACATGACCTCAGCACTTGCCCACCAACCAGTCCAACTCCTGTTCTTTCCACTGGCTGGTAAGGGAGGTTGATTGTCTCTTGGTGTAATTAAAGTGACCCAGGTGTTTGTGACAAAATTGGTTCTGCTGTCTGCTGAGGCTTACCTGTGCAAGGTGGTTAATGGAGACGTCTAATGGGTGGCGTTTTACTGAAATCATTTGATCTGCAGCTTGTTCTTTTCCTTAAATGTCCTCTGCAAAATTGAAAGATCTGAAGAAGGACCACTCTGGCAGCGTTTTCTCCTGTGTACATGGTACTGGGACTGCGTGTGCAAGAGGGATATAGGAGAACTTGTGTTTTCGGGTGTAGTAGATACTGTTCTGATTTTGCTGATGTTCACTTTCACCACTAAAAGGACTTTCTCAAGTCCTTTTAGCGGTCTTTACCTTGTCTGTCACTCTTGAGTTGCTTCCCCAAGCTGGCGAACAGTGGTCTCAAACAAGAGGAAGAAAGTGATTTTTAAACAGCCTCCATTTCTGTGCACAGGTGTTGCTCACTTGTATAGCAAAGTAAGGTTTGTATTCCCAAAGCGGTGCACCTGCCTTCAAGTGCTGAGCACGCTTCCTGCTTCCCAACTTAGCATCTAGAATGAAGCTGTGCATGTGTATGATGGATAGATTAAAAGCCTGAATTGTTAAAAAGTAGGTCTTGTACTGTTAAATATTTGCTTTCTAATTTTCTTTGGGTACCTGAGTAAAGAGAAAGTGGTGTCATTTGGAGTTTGTACCCCTGTGAATGTCAATAACACCCATTTACATTCCTCTGTGAACAGCCTGTGTTTTGTTCTTACGTGGTCTAACACTTGTACTCCTCAGGATGTGCATCAGCATTATTTCGAACAACAGTTTTTGTTTTTAATAAGAATTTAGAAAGTATCTAAATCCAAGTCAGGCATGCGGTTGCATTCTCTTCAGAAACATGCTTTGATATTTATTTGTATTTAAATCGAACTTGTTGAAATTCTTACCGCTCTAAATAAACGTCCCAAACGCCTGTCTTCTCCCAGGGCGGTGAGGGTGGCAAGCAGGACGTGAGGGTGGTAAATGCTTGGCATCAGCCGCAGGCTGCTGCTACGAGGCCGCGTACAATAGCAGCAGTCATTTTTTTTTCCCACTGCCCCCTCGGTAACAGAAGTGCCTTGTGTGTCTGTCGGCCAGACCCAGACCTGGGGGAGCTTTGCTGCAGGTCCCTGTCTGTCGGCTGCTCGTGCTGCCCAGGAATGTCACAGCCTCCTGAAGCCCCCACGGTCCTCAGCAGCCACTGCTGATGGCATGGCCAAACCCCAAGGAGTTTCTCCTACGAGCTGTGGGAGGGGTGAACTCACGAGCATCAGTGCTCAGGCCCTGTCAACCACCATGAGCTAGGTTGGAAAAGCACCTGAAGACATGGGTACATGTTTACCATGCCCACAACGTGGGCTTTTCCTTATTATTTCAGTTTTCCTGCTGGTGGTGGTGGTGAGACCTGCCCCCATCACCCCAGACCAGAGATCCCATCACGCTTTCACCTCTGGGGACCTGTAAGATGCCTGACCTCAAGTCTCAGGGTCCTGGCTCAGTTGCTCATCGCTGCGGGTGCCCTGTCTGTGCTCCTGCAGTGCTGGTGGGGAGCACAGGGAGGGGTGGGAATTGGGCTAAGGCCGGTGCGAGCACCTGGCTCCTGTGCTGCTCTGCCTCCCCTGGGCACTGCGGTGCCCCCAGCTCTGTAACGAGGGCTCCAGCCCCTGTCTGCTCTCATCAGACGTGAGCCAGGGGCTGGGCTGCACCTCAGCCTGTTCTGACTTCACTGGGGCTTTATTGCTTGGGGTTTAATTAGGGTGTGCAGCCAGCCCCGGTGTCACTGCGTGCCGGGGCCTTACAGCCCTGCGTCCTCCTGGGCTGCAGACAGAAGCCGTACGGCCCTGCTCAGGGCAGCGTTCGCTGCTCTGTGAGAGCTCCTCTGTGTTCCTGCAGGAGCAGCAGGAGCTGACTGCAGCCCCCGCTGGGGCTGAGGGGTTCCCAGCAGCCTTCCCAGTGCTCGGCTCTCGCCCGCGTCCCTCCTGCGCTGCCGAGGATGGCGGGGAGGATCCGCGGGCAGGCCTCAGGTTGGATTTCCTGGGGTTCTCGTAGGCTTTCTTACAGCCTCGATGTTTAAACCTAATGTCTTGTATTTATTCCGAAAGGGCTTTCATCTGATTTTCCCTCTCGGTTAACAATTTAGCTGTCAAAACCAATAACGGCGAGGATCCATCCCCGGCCGCCATCAGCTCACGTTACCGTCCTCCAATTACTTCATGGTGGAACCGCTGCTGGGGCTTTGCCGGGGAATTATCAGGTTACTAATGAAGCCCGGGCAGCGGCGGGCGGCGAGACACCGCGGCGGTGGGTGCGGGCCCGGCTGCGGCACCCGGCCCGGCCCCGCCGTGGGGGGGGGGGGGGGCTCCGGGACCGAGGCCGCTCCCGGCGGGGCGGCGCTGCCCGCGGCGGCCCCGTGCGCCCCGTCGGGGCGGGCAGCGCCGGGGCCGGGAGGGGGGCCCCGCGACCACCCCCGTACCCCCCCCACCCTCCCCTTTTTCCCATCCCATCCCCTCCCCACCCCGCGGGCGGTGCCGGTGCCGCCGCAGGTAGCGGGGCCCGGCGGGGCGGGCGGCCCCCGGGGCTCGGCGGGGGGGCGCCGCTTCCTGCCCGGCCCGCGGCCGCCCCCGGCGGGGGAGCGGGGCCGGCGCGGCTCCCCGCCCTTCCTGCCGCGGCCGCGGGACGCGCCGCCCGCGGGCACGGAGCGCGGCGGCGGCGGCGGGCGGAGCGGGGCGCGCCCGCCCCATGCACCGGAGCCATGAGGGCGGGCAGCCCCGGGGCCCGGGCCGCCGCGCCCCGGCCGGCGCCGAGGCGGGCAAGGTGAGCGCCGTCGGGGCCGGGAGCGGGGCCGGAGAGCGGCGGCGGCGGCGGCGGGGCCGGTACCGGGTGTGGGGTGTTGGGGGGGGGGGGGAGCGGTGGGGCCGGGACCGGGGTCGGGACCGGGGCCGGGGCCGCTCGCCGCCTCCCGCGCCGAAGGGGAGGATTTTTCCATCCCGGCGCTTTCTGGGGCGTTTTGTGCTCGGCGGAGGGAGAGGGGGAAGAATTTCGATTTTTAATTACTACCATTAAAAAAATCAAATTTGCAATTCTTTGGGTGGCCTGATGGATTCCCTGATTGACAGCCGGAATTGACACTCTGGGTACCTCTTATCTCGGGCATTTACGGCAATTTCTAATTGCAGGTAGTTTGTGGGGTTTTTTCAGCGCTTTGGCTCGCATGGGAACCGAGCGATTACTTCAAGAGGCCCGGGTTAAGTGCAGGCAGGGAGAGAATTCAATCCACATTCAAATTGCTTCATTAAAGAGACGCAGCTTTTGTTGCAAAGGATTTAAATGGCCACTAGAAAGTTCTTATTTATTGTTTTGAGGCGGTTTATATAGGGTGCCCCGCGCTCGCCCGGCGCATGGAGCCGCAGCCTCCCTCTCCCGCTCTCTCCCGCAAGGTGATGCCGCCGGAGCCGCTGCCCAAGGGGAGCGCCCGCTGCCTCGACCCGCACGCCCGCGCCATGGTAAGCGGGGCCGGGGGCTGCCGGGGGCACCGGGGGCACCGGGACCCGCCGGGCCGAGCCGGGCCGGGACCGCGGGGAGAGCGCCGGGCCCCGGGGATGGGGAGGGGGGGGGGGTCGCGGGCGGCCGAGGCGGGGCCGCGGCTCACGGCCCCCCGGCTGTGCCCGCAGTCTCAACCCGACGGGGAGCCGCTGCCCGGCGGCCTGGAGAAGGAGGACGCCCGCTCGGCGCCCAGCACCCCGTCCACGCCGTCCGTCTGCTCGCCGCCGTCCTCCTCCTCCTCGTCCACGCCGTCGGCCGGCAAGAACGTGTGCTCCAGCTGCGGGCTGGAGATCCTCGACCGGTACCTGCTCAAGGTGAGCGGCGGGGGCGGCGGGGGAGGCGGCGGCGGCGGCGGCGGGCGGGCGGCCCCGGGTCTCAGCCCCCTTCTTGCCGCAGGTGAACAACCTCATCTGGCATGTCCGCTGCCTCGAGTGCTCCGTGTGCCGCACCTCGCTGCGGCAGCAGCACAGCTGCTACATCAAGAACAAGGAGATCTTCTGCAAGATGGACTACTTCAGGTAGGGGCCGGGCCGCCGGGGCTAAGAGGGGCGCGGGGGGGAGCGGCCCCGTCGGGAGCGGAGCAGCCGCGCCGGCCCCGGTGCTGCCGGGGAAGGGGCCGCGAAGCTGCGGGGCCGCGGGGCACAGAGCCCCGGGGCTGCTTCGCGGCGGCCGGGCGAAGCGGCGGCTCCCCGGGCACGGCCGAGGCACCGCAGCCGGTCCCGTGCCCTCGGCGGCTCCGGTCCTCGCCGGCCCCGCGGCGCCCGGGCAGGCACCGGGAGGCGTCGGACGGCACCGGCCCGGCGGCTGCGGGCAGGCTGAGCCCGCACCGAGCCGTCGGCAAGGCTGAGCCGTTGCTCCAAGCCTTTTCCTGCCGTGTAGCACCAAAAAACGCCGCGGCGTCGTTGGCGTTAGCGCGAGAAAGCGGCGAACCGAGTCCCCGGCGGCGGGGAGCGCCCGGCCGGCACCGGCACCGGGGCGGCTCGGGACCCCGGCGGCCGGAGGAGCGGGTCCCGCTGGGGGCCGGTTGTTGGGGCTGCGGCAGCCTTCGGGTGGTGAACCCCAAATCGGGAACCATCCCCTGAAAGAGAGGCGCGGGGATGGAGGGTTCCCGAGCTCCGCTCCAGGGTTTGGCTGCCGGCAGAGCCCCCCGCTCCGGCTTCGCCCAGCTCGCCCGCCGAGGGAGCGCAGTTTGCCCCTGGAGGAAGGGGAAATCGCAGGCAGGAAATGAGAATGACCCCGGCGGGGCTGTGCGGGGCTCGCCACGACGGCCGCGGCTCGGCTCGGCTCGGCTCGGCAGCTCCCCCGGGCAGAGGTGCTTCGGGCAGGGCGTGCTCCGCGGGCAGCGTGTTTAGGTGCCTCCAGGGGCTTTATTTTATTTAATTTGGTTTTGGTTTTATCTCATTATTTTTGAGAGGGTCTCCAGATGCGGCAGGAAGGGGGCCGTGCCCCCGGCCCTCCGGCGCGGTGCTCTCGGTGCTCGGCGGGGCAGCTCCGAGCCCGGCTCCCCCCGCGCCCGCCCCGGCCCCGCCGCGCCGTTGTCCGCGAGCAGCCGGCGGGGGGACCCGGGGATCCCACCGGAATCCTCCTCACCCGGGGCGGAAAGCAGCGGGGCAGCCTGAGGTGCCTTTGTGCTGCTTCGGAGCAATTCCAGCGCTTTCCGTTAATTAATAACCGTTCGCACGATATTGCTATTTTTTTTTTTTAAAGACGGGCGGTTTTTAAGGACGGGCTCCGAGCAGCGGCTGAACCCCGGCATCGCGGCGCTCGCCGCCCGCTCCACCGGGGACGCTCCCGGCCGGAGCCGCTGCTGGCCGGGCCGGCCCCGGCTGCCCGCGCTGGGGCGGCCGCAGAGCCGGAGGTGGCGTTTGCCGTTTGCACAAAACGATTTTAATTTTTATTGATTTTTTCTCGAGCGCGGAACGACGCCGGCGGGGCCGCGGCCGGGTGGGGACGGGGCTGCCCCGTTCCTGGCCGCCCCCGGGGCCGCGAAGCCCGCGGGCACCGCGCTGCCGGTGGGGGACTCAAAGCGCCGGTTCGGGCATTGCCGAGCCGTGCCGAGCCGTACGGGGCCGGGCATTGCCGTGCCGAGCCGAGCCCAGCCGGTCCCCGCGGCGAGCCCCGGGCGGTGCCGATCCGCGCTGCCGTCGGTGCCCGGGGGCGGCCGAGCCCCGGCTGCTGCGGGGCCGGGGCCGGGCTTCAGCGCCGCGATCGGGAGCCGTGGATGGCCGGGACCCCGCGTCTCGCGTGGGGGTCCCCGGGGCTCTCCGGCCGGCAGAGCGGGGCTGCCGGCGGGGACTGCCCGGGCTGGGGTCCCGCAGCCCCGTGGGGAGCCCCCGGGAGCCGCTGGTGCCCGTGGAGGGCCTGCAGCCCCGGGCAGCAGGGACCCAGTGCTTGGCCAGGGACAAATCCGACTCTTTCGACTTTTAAAATTATTATTTGCTGCAGCCGAAGTGTGTTTTTAAAAGAGGAGCAGAACTGTCCCCCTGTGCCTTGTGTCCCCCTGTCCCTTCCCGTTCACACAAGAGGCTGCGCTGGCGCTGCCACGGCCCCGCAGCTCCGTGCGCGTCTTTAAGCAAGCGTCGCCGTTTCCTGTGTCTTGTCAAATAATTGCACTTGGCATCCAGGGCTCTAGTGCTTCAAGGAGAACCAAATTAAAATTGGAGCTCGTGGAGCTCCTTCGGAGGAACATTGTGTTCCCGGGTGATGCGAGGGCTGCTCACGGCCAAGCTCCCACGGCTGCGGTCTCGGGGAGGGCCAGCACCCCGCCGTGGTCCCGGTGTGACCCCCAGGGCACCCAGCTGTGCTGGGCAGCTCCGGGGCACAAAAGCTTGGGGTCCCTGCAGGTTGGGGCAGTGCAAGGCCCGCGGGTGGGCCAGGGCCAGCGTGGGCTCTGTTGCCCCCAGCCTTTGTGCCCCTGGGGTGCCTTTGTGCTCCAGCCCGAGCGCAGCCGTGGCTCGCCGCGCAGGCAGGCTCGTTTCGGCAGCGCGCTGCTGCTCCTCTGCGTGGCTCAGCACAGATCCTGGAAGCCGCAGCCACGGCTGCTTCTGGGGGCTGTGTTAGGAGCTTCCTACAGAGCACACCCAGGGGGATGGGGACGTGTGGAGCTGTCGGTGGCCCTCACTCCAACCCCACAGGCACGGGGGTGCCAGAGCTCGGGGAGCTGCGGCACCCGGGTGCCCGTGAGCCTGCACGCACCAGGCACCCTCCTGCCTCTGCTCTCCCCGCAGCCCAGATGCTGCGGCCACCCAGAGGAGGCAGGATGGGTCTTTCTGGGATGAGTCCCTCCTGGTAATGTTGCTGCTGCTTTCTATCTCCCGGTGGGGGTGCGGAGAGCTGGCAGCATCTGCTCACCCACCACAAACCGCATGTGGGGCCAGAGCTGTGGATCCAGCCAGTGTTGGCGATGCCCTGGCCCGAGCTGTGGTGCATGGGCCAGGCTGCGGAGCTGAGCTTTGCCATCAGAGAAACCACCTGGGCTTGGGGAAAGCCTTCAGCTCTGTGTCTCCTGCTGCAGCGTGGCTCCATCCTTGTCCCCTCTGTGCCATGCGGGCAGCAGGACCCCAGAAGCCCCTCACTTGGTGCCCCTCAGCTGCCGCATGCTCGGGGCTCCCTGGGCTCTCGCTGCCCGTGGCAGGAACAGGCTCAGTGAATTGAAGTCAGATTTATTTTTGAAACACCATTTCCCATAGCGATGGGTCAGGGCGGTTTCTCTCCCCACGGGTGGTGATGTCCCTGTGGTGACAGCCCCTGCTGGGTGACAGCGGGTGCCTCTGCACGGCCCTGGCTTGGTTTGGTTTCCATCAAAACCCGCCAGCTGCAGCCAGTGCTGGAAGCAGGCGCTGGGGTGAGAGCTGCGGGCGCAGCATCGGTGGCTGCCGGCGCTGCCTCCTGCACGGCCCCGTGCCCGTGTCCCCCTGCGGGACCACGGGGTCTGCGTGGGGCCTCTGCCAGGAACTGCCACTGGCCAGGGACCCTGCCTGGCCACGGGGACACCGTGCTGCAGGTCTGAGCCACCCGGGTGTCCCCGTGGATCCCAGCCTGCGTGGGGACGCGTGGTCTTCCCGGGCCGTGCCCGTCCCAGCGCGCAGCTTGGCCTGCTCCGGAGCAGGGAGCGATTGAACCGGGGAGAGGCGATTACCACGTGCTATTAGCTCGTTTAAGCCTGCCCCCTTATTTGATAGCGTTCAGCAAATACGACTGTTTATATAGCACATTGTTCAAAGTAATTCAACTTACAGGAACAATCTTTACTTCTAAATAAAAAATTAATACAGTTCTTTTGTTTGTGCGTTTATATAAACGAGCTGGCACAAAGTCAGTTTACAATGTTCCCATCTGAAGTAAATTAGCGAAGTCTCTTAGCTAAGTCTCTGTATAATTTCAGCACAGAAATGTCCTCTCTAAAGCAGCCTTTTTTTTTTGTTGGTTGGGTTTCGTTTTTTTGTTGTTTTTTTTTTTGGTCAGCTATGGTCAGGCTGAAAAATTTAAACCTTTCTCTTCCTCCCAAACAGTCTTGCAGTTAGCGACTCGGTACAGGATGGTCTTGCAGCATCTCCCCAGGGTCACGGAGGGGTGGCAGCTCAGGGACGGCTCAGCCGTGGCACACGAGGCTGCGGCGTGCTCCCACCTGGGGCTGTCTCAGGGTGCCCGGAGCGGTTGCGGTCGCTGCCACCTGCCCAGCTCCGCAGCCTCGAGGTGCTGCAGCGAGAGGTGCCCTTGGTGCAGTCCCCTCCGTGTTCCCTGCCTGCGATGCAGGAAATGCTCGGGCTGTTCGGGCAGGGGATGGCAGCGGCTGCTGCTTCCCGGCGGGGATGGGGACGAGGAGCGCGGGGCCGGGTGCGAGCCCCACGACGTGGTGACTGTGAGCAGGGCTGTGTCGGGGCCAGCACCAGCCCTGCGGAGCTGGAGGAGACGCTGCTCTCTCCCTGCTGCTTACTGCTCATTGCGTGTATTTTTTTTTAAACGGTTTTAGTAAAACTACAATGTGAAAACCCACCCGCGTTAGTGGAGGCCGTGCCCGTGCTGCGGTGGCACCGCCTGGGCTCGGTGCAGGAGCGGTGGCCTGGTGGAGCTGCCGGCAGCGGGGCGCTCAGAAGCGTGCGCCGAGGCACGGCCCCCCCGGCGTGTGGGGATGCGGCGGCCTCGTTACCTTTTCATTTCACTGAAATACTTCCTAGCATAAATAACTCGAGCGCGATCATCATCTTCTCGCCGCGAGGAGACCTCCTCGTAGGAGGAAAAAGCAGATGCATACGTCTGTGTGTGTGAGGAGAAAACACATGTTTTGATTTATTGCAATGGGGGAAAAACGGCTCTAACAAAATTTCCATCTGAGTGTCACACTGCCTGTTATCAAAATAAAAAGCCCACGAACTTGGAGGCTGATTCATTGCACTGCGTGACCTCAGTGCTCACTCGCACGGCTCAGCCCCGCGGCCGCGCCTGGAGCTGCGGGGCCGCGCTGGGCCCCCTGCCCGCGGTAGCCCCCGGGGGGCGGTTTCCCCGCAGCCCCTTCCCCGCGTGGGCTTTGTGGGGTTGGGGCTGGTTGGGGTGGGCAATGGGGCGGCGGGGGCTGCCCGCCCTCACCCTGTCTCCTCTCCTCCCGCAGCCGGTTTGGTACCAAGTGCGCCCGCTGCGGCAGGCAGATCTACGCCAGCGACTGGGTGCGGCGGGCGCGGGGCAACGCCTACCACCTCGCCTGCTTCGCCTGCTTCTCCTGCAAGCGGCAGCTCTCCACCGGCGAGGAGTTCGGCTTGGTGGAGGAGAAGGTGCTGTGCCGGATCCACTACGACACCATGATAGAGAACCTCAAGCGAGCGGCGGAAAACGGTACGGAGCCGCGGTGCAGCCCTCGGCGCGGGGACATCGCCGTCGTGGTGAGGTGTCGGGGCCGGTCCCGCTGCTGCTGGGGGCATGTGGAGAGTGGGACGGTGCCTGCCCAGAGGCTGCTGCTGCCCTGGGGTGCACGTGGGTGCGATGGGCTGGCGCTGCTGGTGGCAGAGCCGTGTGCTGAGGGCAATGCTGGGCACAGCCCCTGGTCCTGCTCCCACCGCACCGCCTGGCCTTGCTGCCGCGTGCGGAGAGTCAGAAAACCGCAGGGATTTTGAGGCCGTGAGTCATAAACCTAGAAGGTGGGGAACCTGGCAGGCAGATAGCCTGTTCCTGTCTTTTTCCACCGGCCCTGGGATGGGTTTCTCAGAGCTGCGTGCTGCTGTCCCTGCTGTGGCACGTCACCAATGGCCTCCTGGTCCCACCCAAGTCCCGCTCCCACAGCACTGGGCTGGTGCCACCAGGTCACGCAGCGCTGCGGTTCCTCCAGTGCAGCCTGGCCCCAGTGCTGGCCCAGAGGGTGCTTGGAGGAGAGAAACAGCTTTGGAAGGTTTGCGAGGCCACATCGTGCCACGTTACCACCGGGCTGGGCCAGGAGGGAGCCTGGCCAGGTCCTGCCCCACGTGCTCGGGCTGCAGCCACCTCCGGCTCCCTCCCGTGCTCATGTCTGTGGTGAGGAGACGAGTGAGGGTTGTGGCAGGGCTGCTTGCTTTTATTATGTGGCCATGGAAATGCTGAGAGAAATGCCCAGGGACCCCGTGGGGCTGTGCTGGGGCATTGCCCACCTGGGAGCATGGCTCCTGCCCGTGCTGCCCCTTGCTAGTGCTTCATGGGCATGGGGAGGCAAACGCCGCGTCCCAGCCCGTGCAGCATGTGGAAGCTATTAACAACCTGACACGAAAATAATCAGTGTTTCTGTTTACAGCCTTTGAGTAAGAGAATGGAAACAGCGTGCCCTGTCGGGCTGGGAGGGTCCCGGCCGCGGGGCCGGTGGTCGGCTGGCTGTGGGGGCGCGGGGCTGAGGCCGGGCACGGGGGGTGGTGGGGAGAGGCTGCGGGTCCGGGGGGAGAGTGGGGCCAGGCTGTGACCATGGCCAGGTCTGGCTCCAGGGCCCTGCAGTGCCCTGGTCCCGGCTGGGGGCTTGGTTTGCACTGCAGGGGGGTCCCTGCCAGTGCTGGGGAGCCCTGCGGAGCTGGGGCACAGGGCGAGTGTCCTCGGGCAGGTGCCCGGCTTCGAGTGCAGTGCCCCTGGGCTGCAGGAGGGGATGGGGAGGCTCTGGAGAGCAGTGTTGCTGCAGAGTTAGAGGGCCACACTTTTTTTTCCCCCTCCAGTAATTACCCAGCAATTTCTTCAGCACATGAGGTTTTACACACAAGAAAAATAAACAGATGTTGCTGAAGTCAGAGTCCCATTCATCATCCTAAAAGAACAAGTCAAACTATATGAGAAAGTCCTTCAACTCAAGCCAAGACAATCACAGCCCGGTCCAGCTTGCAGAGCAAACGTCGTGGTGTGCAGGCACATCCTGGGAGCGGGGCGAGCGCCAGCCCTGCGCAGGCACCCTCCCTCATCCATCACTCCTCCGGGCAGGACGCGGGCTCCGGTGGGGTCCCCAGAGCAGGGTGGGGGTCCTGGCCCTGGCTGTCCCCCCGCTGGCTCTGTGGCTGTGTGAGTGGGGCCAGGCTCGCCCCGAGGCCCTATTTGGGCAGTGGGGGACAGTCCCTGTCCCAGTGTGTCCTCCTGCTGTGTGGCTGCTGCTTGGGGTGGTGGCAGCATGCGGAGCAAGGTCACCGGCACCGCTGCCGTGGGGCCCTGGACATGGTCAGGGGAAAAGCCCATTCAGTCACACTCAGAGTGAATGGGATGGGTGATGGAGGCAGTGTTGCAGTGGAGACAGGGCCACGGGGCACAGCGTGGGTGTCGGGGTGCTCAGCAGCACACAGGATCCTCTTCTGAGCTGCTCGTGGGGGGGCGCAGCCTGGTGGTGCCACGACCCGAGGACATCAGTGCCTTCCTTTACACCCCACAACGTCCATCTTCCCTCTGTCCTTTCCCCATCCCTCATTCCCCAGCTCTTCCACAAAACTGCTGTTTTTTCCAAACTCATCAGGGGCAGCATTACCACTTGGGGACAGAGAGGCTCAGTGGTCCCTCTCTGGGTTGGTGCCACTGCCCCGTGCCGTGATGTCCCTGGGCAGGGCAGGGCAGGGAGGACGCCGCACGTGTGCTGGGAGGTGCACGGCTGTTATTCTGCTCCCCCAGCGCTGACTGCAGCACTCTGGGCTTCTCTCCACAGGCAACGGGATCACGCTGGAGGGGGCCGTGCCCTCGGAGCAGGACAGCCAGCCGAAGCCGGCCAAGAGGGCGCGCACCTCCTTCACCGCCGAGCAGCTGCAGGTAGCGGGGCTGGGCCGGGGGCTGGGGGGGCCCGTGGTGCCCGGCCTCACCCTCACCCCTCTGCTCGCTGCCCGCCAGGTCATGCAGGCACAGTTTGCTCAGGACAACAACCCCGACGCACAAACGCTTCAGAAACTCGCAGATATGACGGGGCTGAGTCGGAGAGTCATTCAGGTAGGGGCAGCCGTGGGGCGAGCGCACGGGATGTGGGGCATGGGGTAGAGGTGAGGTGTGGGCACCAGCACTCCCACAGTGGATGGAGAAGGGGGCAGAGGGGGGCACTGGTGACCCTGTGATGGGGACACTGGTTCTAAATGGGATGAACATCCCCCTAGCCCCTTGTTCCCTTGCTGGCCGCTGGGCTTGCTGCATCCAGCAGCTTCGTGCTCTCTTCTGGGTGCTTTGTTTCACGATGCCAGCACTGTCCTTGCCCTTTCTCACTCCTCGATTTTCTGTATTTTTTTCTCTTTTTAATGCAATGAAAAAAACCACAGCTCTGGCCAATCCAAACAAATCATGGGGTAGGGAGCTGCCCCTAAGGCACTGGCTGCAGCACTCTGTCACTGACCTGGGCGCAGGCAGGACCGGTGCTTCCCCAGCAGCGAGGTGCTGGTCCTGCGAGGCTGCACCATTGGTGTTGGGAAGTTTCAGCAGAAAGGAGGGCAGCAACGTCCCTGTCCCTGTGCCGTGTGTGAGGGATGGGAGAGCCGTGACAGAGGGGCTGGGAGGAAAACAGTACCTCTGGCACTCCTGCAGCCACCCCAGCCGTGCCCTCAGCCACATTCGTGCTCCTCACTTCAGCGTGCTGCTGACACTTTCTGCATACAATGAGAGCACGAGTGATTAAAATAAACTTGGAGCTTTCATCCAGGAATTGTTTTGCCAAAGATGCATTTAAATTTCTAGCGCGTGAAAATCTGGCTCGAGCCTCGGTTATTGAGACTCTTCATTTAGAGAAAGATCAACTGGTCTGCGCGCTGGGCTGTTTTTTACGTGGGTATTTTTTAAAGGTGCTTTGAGCAGGAAACAATTTGTCAAACGCTTGTGACTGTTTCCTTCGCATGGTCCAGTGTGCGTGGCCTCAGGGCGCTGATCTTCGCTGTGACTTGTGGAAGGTTTCTACTCCCAGTTATCCTTCAGAAATTAAAGCATAAGAAAGAAAACACCACGTTAGGATGGAAAAAGCCTCTGTGTATGTTTTAGTTCTAGGGTGTAGCCCCCTAACTATTCCTTTATTGTGTATGTTTTAGTTCTAGGGTGTAGCCCCCTAACTATTCCTTTATTTAAGAGCAGTGAGATATGGTCAGAAGGCTCCTGCCTGCTGGTGGATGCAGTAGGGCTGTCTCCTGTCGTACCTTCATTTCTCAGCTTCATTGTGCTGCTGATGTGGTTTCTGGACACAATAACCACAAGAGATTGAATTGTTTTCGTCATGCCTACGGTCGCAGACGCAGCTCGCTGCGGATGTGCTGTCAGCGCGGAAGGGAGCGGTGTGATATTTAGCGAGAGCTCCTGCACAGCCCGGTTGTGGCATTTCACCCAGCGACTCCTGCGCCAAGCACGAAAGTTTTCATTGCCTTACTGAAGAATGGTGTCGGTTCTGACCACGCCAAATTAACCGTAATGGTGCCACTTCAGGCATGCTATTGTCTGTGCTTTCTGGAGACAAAAGTCTTCCTCCAGCGAGCGCAGAAAAAAAGCAGTGGGAGGCAGTGGATGCTAACAAGGTGTTTCAGCGCGGAGATCTCCAAATGCGATGCCTTTTTGTAAATACCCCGCGGAGGCAGCTCTCACAGGGTCTTTGTGAGCGACCGCAGCTCAGCCCAATTCCTTCTTCACTCAGTGTCTGCTGCTTTCCTTTCAGGTTTGGTTTCAAAACTGCAGAGCCCGCCATAAAAAACACACGCCCCAGCACACGGTGCCGCCCTCGGGGGCCCCCCCGTCCCGCATCCCCTCCTCGCTCCCCGAGGACATCCACTACTCGCCCTTCAGCAGCCCGGAGCGGGCCCGGATGGTGACGCTGCACGGATACATAGAGAGTGAGTGCGGGGCCGGGGAGGGGCTGAGCAGTTTGGTCCCACGAAGGTCCCTGCCTTGGCTTGGCTTTAGGGCCCTCAGCCTTCCTTGGGTTCCCTTTGTCGTGGAGAGCAGCGTGGGTGCGTCCTGTGGAACTGGTGTGCCCCTGTGCAAGGTCAGAGGAGCTTTTCCTACTAACTGCTGGTTGCTGATGGACTGTTTGTGAGTAGGGCAGTGTTGTTGGGGTGGGAAGGGTCACCAGGATGGAGTCTCTGGGCTCTGTGCAACCCGTGAGGTTTCTCCCCACCCTCGCCTGCACCAGATGTGGCTCCTCAATGCATGTCCCCGGGTGCTCCCTGCCAGGAGCCCGGCCGTGCCGCTCGCAGGGCTTGTGTTGTTGGCAGTAACAGGGCTGAAGCCTCTTCTCATCCACAGGTCAGGTACAGTGTGGACAAGTGCACTGTAGACTTCCCTACACTGCTCCACCAGTGCACCTCAAAGCAGACATGGAAGGACCACTATCTAATAGGGGTGAGAAGGTAATTGTACTCTTTGTTTCAGGCTTCGGGGCCAAACTGCTGCTTGTGTAATGTCGTTGCCACTGCCTGCTCGTGCCAGCAGGGCTGCTTGGCTGTGATCTATAGCAGCTGCCAGCTGCTCATGGTGTTTGCTTCATTCTGGTGGCCCTAGACTGATGTACCAGCTGTTGGTACATGGCACCGAGTTGTTTTGCACTAAGTTCCCCTCCTGGTGATGTGCTGGGTGGGATGCTGTGCCTGGAGCCACTCAAGTCTCCAACCTCCCCCTGCCTTAGCTCCTGTGTTTCTGGTTTCTCCCTTCCCTGTGGTCACTCGCTTCTTTCCCTGCTCTGCTGCCCCGCTGTCAGCACGCTTGGTCTGCTAGTGACTGCACGGGCAGGACCTGCGCCACGTTCTGACTTCCAGCTCTCCATGAGCTAATAAGAAGGATTCATTTCTTGGGGATTCCAGTATTGCTTAAAGAACAACAACTGGCCATCATCATATCTTAAATAGGAATGTTATTTCACAATGCCTGGCTAAGAAACAATATTGCGTATAGATTTTTTTTCTTGTCAGTACTTCAGTATCTGCCCATTCTAACATAGAGCTCATTTTTGGGACAAGGCTCCTGAAATGATGTATACATGCCTCGGCTCAGGATTTTATTTAGGATCCCAATTTAAGTGACTTCATTTTGAGGAAATACTATACTGAGCCTTTGGCAACTCTTACTGTTGTAGCTTTCATCTTTACTTTTAGAAGCTCTCAGCATCTCTTTCCAAATCTTTCTCTATTCAGTGCAGCAACCAGAGATTATTGAGCTCTGCTTCAATAAATGCAAGCAGGGGCACAGCAAAGTTATTTTTTTGGTCAAAATGATAGCATTTTATCTTGATATCTACACAGAAAACTGGAGAGTTTTCAGAAAATATTACTCCATCCTGACGCTGTCCTTCAAAGAAAGTCCCCAGCAGCAACTGGCTGCTGTGACTTCAGTGCAGTTACTTGTGGATGTTGCAGGGCTGGGTTCTCAGGACGTGGGGCTGCCCCCCAGACCAGTTCCTTTTCCAAACAATTCCTGCTGTGCTCAGTTCTGGAAACCTAAAGCAGCATCTTTTTCCTCATAGACTGTGAGATTTGCTCAGAGAGCAAACAAGATACAAAGCAAACTGGCTGTGCTGCGCCGTGCAGTGCAGTTCTGCAGGCTAACAGGGAGCTGGTGACTCCCTTAGGGGTGCACTGCTGTGCTCCCTTTACCTCCCACTTGTTATGCTGTGTGCTGCCTTCCCTGTGAGCTCTGGTCTGTGGAGTTCAGGGGCAAGACTGGCTCCAGAAGGAGTTTGTCCCACGGGGAAGTCACTGCCCTCTCTTTTGGCTGGGTGTGTGTGCTGCCTGGCTGTTCCCTGAGAGCCCATTTGTTTGTCTGTGGAAGTGGCTAACGCTTGGTTCACGTTTCTCCCACTAGGTCATCCTCTTTCAGTACTGACTGCGCGAGCTCTTCCTCATCTGCCCACGGCGCTACCAGCACCACTGCCCCTCAGTCGCTGAAACAGCGTCCAGCCCGAGGCAACTGTTCTCAGTCATGCAGGAGAAACTCAGATCCAGCACTCTCAGTTGTTCCCATTGACCAGCATCTAACATCCACTATTATTTCTCCAGCAACACTCTGTGTATGTGTGTGTCGAGTGCAGAGTTGCATTTTTCACTTGTTTCTTGTGGACTTGTAGAATGACAGTGAGTCTCTCCAAGGCAATGCCAGACACAGCCAAAATTAGTGACTCTGCTGTGCTTACAAATCCTGCTCCCCAGTCACGGGAATATGAACAGATCAGTTCACGCTGAGTCACAGGGGGTTCGATGATCACCTATGAATATAGAGAAAGGAGGAATTTACGTGGTTTGGCCTGATTCTCTTTTTGCACCAGTGAAGCAGTGTTGGTTCCCGGACGTCCCTCCTTATTTACACTTGCATGTGTGAAATCCGAAATGGGCTCTTTGGCTCAGCAACTCAATATACACACAGGACTCCTGAGCCAAAGCCGCAGGTAGCTGCGGCTCCACTAAGTGGAAAACATGATGCCAGCTGGAAATAGGCAGTTTTCCTTCCTCCTCAAAGTGCTTTAGAATCACATGTCCTTTGATCACTCTGTAAGGTAAGTAAACCTTAGTGTTTCCCCCCCTCATTTTGTAGGGGGGGAAACGGAGATGTCCTGAACCGAAAGGAGCGGTGGGGGTTGGTGGCAGAGCCAGGTTTAGCACTCTGAAGGTTTTGATTGCTGACTTGTTCTCAGAGCACTGAATATCTCTCTCCTCTCACAGCCATCTGCCAAATCTTTCATTGTTGTTTTTATTATTAGTCTCATTTTTTATTAACAAGCTACTTTATTTCCGTGGAGTCATGTTGGATCACAAATGGGTGATTTCAAAGTGTACCTACACAAAACTTAGGCACTCCATACACTGGGCCTGGGGAATCCTTAAAGGAATCTGATCGTAAATGCGTAGAAAAGTCTTGCCCTGGTACGGGCCCCAGGAGAGGGACCCAGTGCCATGCTCAGTGCTTGCTGAGAGCAGCAGGGGAGGAACCCAGGGGCAGGCAGGGAGGTGCAGCCGGCAGTAAGGCCGGCAGGAGCAGTCCTGGCTGAGTGGCAGCAAGGTGACGGCGTATTCCTTTGTCTGGCAGCGCCCGATTACCTCTGCCCTTGCCTTGTTCCCCCCTCCTGGAGCACGACCGTTGCTTCTGCCATGGCTGGGATGGAGGTGCAGCCCCAGCCGGCTGCTCACAGAGGAGCGGGCGATGCGGGGCTCACCCTCAGAGGCAGGCTCACTGCAACAACAAAGGAAGTACTCGGTCCTCTGGCCCCAAATCAGGAAAAAGCCTCTGAAATGATACTTCATTGACCGTAAGAACAAAAGTAAACAGCTAGCGTTTGCCAGCCCTTCTCAGCTTGCACCAAGCCACGAGCAGGCCGATAACAAAACCTCTCTCCACATGAGCGCACGGGTCTGTCTTGCTGCTCGGTGTCTGCGCGGCATTTCCAAGAATGTGAAAGCCTACCATGAGCCACAGTTAGTGCGTGACGTGACTGATACACGTGTTTTTCTCTCGGGGAGATCCATCTCCAGCAGCCCTTGGTGGCTGAGCCGGGCGGGTGGCACCGGGCCGGGCCTGCTGGGTGCTGGTGGCCCTGGACAGTCACCATGGGCTGCTCAGGGACTTGTGTGAGGAGACACGGATATCTGCCGAGGTGGCCACCGAGATCTCTTGATCTGAGGGATAACCAAATGCAAGCACACGCTGATACGTGTTGGAACAAATACATACAAACCTCTGCGTGTGTATGTATGTAAAGCAGGGAGAGTGATGGTAGTGTTCGGACAGTGAGGCCAGTATTCTACCTGCAGCTAGCAGCTCTACCTCCATTTTAAAACAGCATTTGGAAGGAGGGAGGAAATTAGGTCCGTAAAGTATTATTGTCACCTCCTGACACACCAATAACCACTTCCAGCGTGTGGCCCACCACAAGGGACTCCCGCACGCTGTGGCCTGGCAGCAACCACCGCTCCAAAGTGTCTCTGTGGGGCAGGAACGGTCACAAGCTCCCATTCCTGTCGCTTTTCTCCCTGTCTGTAGCGATGAGCGAAAGGACTGGCAGACCTTTTGTTGGCTGTGAGTGCTGCTTCCCGGCATGGATGGCTGCGGGGTGTACGTGGTGTGCTGTGTCCGCGTGAAACGGCCTTCAGATGCTGGGGGTGGTCGGCGGGGTCACCAGGGCCCCACTTTCTTCTCCGTTTGTGCTTGCGCATTGGAATGATTGTTTAGTTGTGGACTTAGTGCTATAAACTAATGGGTAGCTGTCCAATTTAAGGCTGAAGGAGAGACCTCAGGCTGTAACTTGACCTGACATCCCCCAGTACTTGAGATTTCCACAACTGTTTTGCTGAGGGAGAAAACGGTCTGTTGCATTTATCTTCTGTCTCAGCAGTGCAGTGAAAGGGAGGCTATTAACTATGTATCTGCTAAATATCAGCTTAGTCACTGACCAAGAGAACCACTTGTGAAATGTACTGTATGTCAAAGTTTTTGTAGCTGATACCACGGACGGGACCAGCATGCGAAGCGCAGGGTAACGCGGAGGTCTCTCCCCGGCCGCGCTGTGCTCACAGCGACCTGCACCGCACAGACCCTGCCCGAGGGCAGCTCCCCCGTAAGTAGCCAGGAGCAGCTTTGCTAATTCAGAAATCAGGCTCTGTTCATATTAAGCCCAAATTGTTTGCAAAAACTGGAAGCAATTCAGCTTGTGCAGTTTTAGAGCTAATTATGTGTATGGAAAATACTCAACTCTACCAAGAATGTAAGAAATTCTCTAATTTATTCAATACGTTGTTTCACAATATATTTCACACTGACTGTTGCCACTGAACCAAACCTTATCTCAGGTCATTTGCATTCATCTCCTGTCTGTAGATTTAAAAAAAAAAAAAGAAAAGAAAAAGTAAAACTCATTCTCATTTTCTTCGTTTATTCAGTAATTGCCAAATAAGTCCTGGTGCAGCAATGCAGACTCCATGTATTAAACTTTTCCAGTTGCTATTTACAAAAACTTTTGCAGACAAAATCTGGTGAAGATAGGCAGTGAAAGGCTTTTCACTCGATTTTAATAAGGTAACTAAATATAGTGAGGGTCTGAAAGTGGAATGGTTTACAATTTTATTGCTTTTTTTTTTTTTTTTCTTTTGGCTCACGCTGGTTAACCCCAATGCCCTAGCTAAAGGTGCTTACACAACTTACTAGTTGGGACGGGGGAGTGGGAATCAATCCTGCACTACTATCAGTGATATATCTGTAGGATGCCAACTATAGACACATCGGTTTTATTTCATCAGCCAATCATTTTGTTGTAGCATGTTGCAATTATGCATGTCTTGGCTACAATGGTTAAAAAATTCTCTAAATGAATGGACAGTCAAGACTAATATTTATTTTAAAAATTAAAACTAAATTGTAAGCACTTTTTTGTAAAACCAATGTCTGTTTTGTTACATACTTTTAATGTTGTGCTTTGTAAATGTCTTATTTGTGTAATAAATAAAGTTAATGCAAGTAGAAGTGCTGGCACTTACATCCAGAAAATGATGTAATTCCATTTTATTTTATTTTTAAATACTTTCTGGCTTACTAATCAAGCAGCAACCCACCCAGTTTTCCTCTTTTATTATTTTGTTAAACTCTGGCTTCAGGAGAGTTCAACAAACGTTCGTAGTAAATGGATATAATTTCCTAGTTAGCAAACCAGTCATTAAAGAATACCTCTGGTGTACATTATTACAATGATCAATCAATATCAAAGTACTGAGCAAAAAGAGAGGAAAGGAATTCACCAGGACAGCTAACTAAAATCTGGGAAAATAATGTTGATTAAGATGGATTTGAATGACTTCAACACTGAATCTGAGGCACTCTTTTTAACAAATTGTTTTCAAGCTTAATAACGTGTATATATACCACACTACACACCTCTCAGGAATATTACTGTGAGTACAGTCTGCTCTTTTTCCATGGCTTTTTCTCAGCATGACTGATTAAATGATTATTTCCATTTTTGTTTATGCTGACAAAGATGACGAAAAGATTATATTCCTGTAGAGGGAAGGGGTGATATAAATCTGTGTGGACAAATTAGACTTATTGTGAATCAGATTACCTGCTTTAGATTATTATTGTCTAGCAAAACCAATTTTCATGGTTTAGGTTTATGCCCAGTTGTTTCATCCTCAGCTTTCCGGCAGGTCCGAATGATCCACTCATGCTCATCATCATCTAAAAGGGAGAGAAAGAGAAGGCCAAATATCACCATTTCACACCTGCTTTTTGCATTACCAGGGTCCAGCTCAAACAATTTTTCCTTTGAGGAAAAAATATCCGTTCTTAGCCATTGGCATCTCTTAGAACACATTTTTGTTTCTTGAAAAGATTTTGTGCTGTTGTGTTGGAATGTGTCAAGGCAGGAGACACTGAATACATGGCAATGATTCTGAGTACTCAGCTATTTGATAGGATTAACATGGGCAGAACTGAAATTTATGCTCTTTTTGGAGTTTTTATGACCATTTACAGGAAATCTGTTGAAAATATCAGAAGTGAAGTTACACATTTTTGAATACTATGTCTGCATTGCTTGTCAGGTTATGAAAAGTGAAGGTAATGGAAAATCTACAGTCAAAGCCTAAGTTCTTCTCTTCCAGTTTTTCTTTCGGTGCTGTTTTTGAAATGTACATTATGATCGGTATCAATAAGCTGATATAGTACTGATGGGCGTGTTATAGATCATCTTCTGTGTCCCTTGTTAGTATTCATGTCTGTCATATTCTCAGAGAATAACAGTGTGAAAAGAAAAAAAAAAACAAAACAAAACACAAAACAAAGATAATGTAGGAAAAAACAACTGTCCAGCGAAGTTTGAATAGAAATTGTGTGTATGATTACAAAAAACTAACGTGGCAAATATAAGTTGTGGCTTCTTTATTCCAGGGACTTAAATAGTCTTGTCTTCAAAAACTGTTCTGCAGACTTTTTTTTTTTTCACTTGCTTAGGGGAAAAGTGATCTGTCTAGTAGACCAGGAAAAAACAAACTTCAAAAAGCCTTGGGAAAAAATCAAGGTATTGCTTAAAACAATACCTGTATTTATTTTTGTATAAATGAAATATATTAGAGCTGCTTCTTGTGTTTACCACTCTCTTAAGAAATTCACATTATCTGCTTGTGACATGTGCTTCTCACTTGCTTCCTCCTAAACTGTAAGCTTTTGTAGCAGCCTTTATTACCTGAAAGCCCAGATGGTTACAAGAAAGATGGAGCAGAGGGAGCTGTGATCGTGGTGCTGTGAACACCACTTGGCATAGCTCATGATCCCACCTTGCACAGCTGAGAGCCCTGCTCAGTTAGGTCAAAACAGATCAAGAAAGAAGAATGCTGCTTGTAAGGAGTCAAATTTTCCTGGAAACCTTTTGGCTGGGGAGTTGTACCTTTCAGCTAAAGTGACATGGTAGCATTTTGAATGTAAAGGTAGGAAGGCCCTGGGAGTGCAGCCGTGCTCATCTCAGAAGTGAATGGTCGCAGAAGGGTATGTGACAAACTAGTTCTGATGTACAAGAGTGTTCAAGTATGTGCCTAAATCTCAGTGACTCCAGTGGGTTTTTAATCAAGTCAGCTTTGTCTCTTTTTTTTTTTTTTTTCCTTAATGCTGCCCTTCCCTATTTCTCCTTTCTGTTAAGTGAGCTGAGTGCAGGTCTTCCCTTCTCATAAGGTGCTGCTCACAAGGAGCTCTATTGGCATCCTAGTAAAAGCCTGCTAGAGTGAGGTCTGTGCCAAAGCATTCACCCCTTGTCTAAATGGCAGCACTTGTCTGACACCCTTGACAAACAGTAGTCAGAAAGCTCTGTGAATTTCAGGAGGGTTTTCCTAGGAGCCACTTTCCCAGTTTGGTCTTTGCCTGCAGCCACTGGTCTCTAGTCAATGTGGCTGCTCATGCCGGCTGACCGTGCCCCAGTGACTGTGCATGGGGTAGAAAACACCCCTGGGCTGCCGTTGTTCCAACAGCCCAGGCTGTAGGTTTGCTTTAGTGACTGAATCATTTTGATAGAGTACCTAAGCACTGGTCTTTCTGTCGCGGACATGATACCTCTTTCACTCTGTGTTATTTACTTTGAATTGAAAGGTCTGTAACAAAACACCCCATTTATGGCACATTTCTTATTCAGGCATAAACTAGGAGAAAATAAATGCTGGGAAATAAGCTAAAAAGAAAATTAAAAAGATAAGCAGTGAATCTTGCTTACAGACCACACAATCCTTACACAGGCAGAGATTCCATTGAGGGCTGCAGCAGGAATGCAAATGTGGTCCTTAAGCTTTCTTAAAAACAACATCAAAGCCATAATCAATGTGCTGGCTTTTGTTCTATGCACTAGGTGTTCCGGCTCTGTAATGATGCGATCACGTGAGCCCAGGCTATGACAGACGTTGTCCAGTCCGGGTATCTCTGCGGTTTTAGCTGGGATCTCCCTGACTAAGAAAAATAGTTTATCTGAGCTTGTAATAATCGCAAGGAAATGAAACTTTGCCTATTTCCATCACAGTGAAGGAATAAACAAGCTCTCCACATGCTACACGTCAGCACTATCTAGCTCATATTTGGGTAATGATATAATTGGCTCACCAAGTACTAATCAGTTCACCTTCCTAGTGAGAAATCTGTTGTGGTCACACAACAGCATCAGGGCTGTAGGCACTAAGAAAGACAGATGCTACTTTTGGCTTTGTTTTATGGATTTCCACCACATCCTTGCTTTGCCTAGGTTGTTTCCTTCTGCACTCGATATTTTCCTGATCTTCTAGGAAAGCACACAAGGCTGATTGTGGTAGGGATTTTAGCCTCCACAAACCAGTCTCAAAACATCTCGGTTCATACAGGAATCTGAGCCCAGGCAAATTAAATTCATGTTCATAAACACTGCTTAACTTGCATATAGTTTAATCAGCTGCAAAAACTGAATGAGCTATATGAGTTTCAACTTTATACAAGAAAATGAATAATAGATGTAATGACTTCATATTCAAAAAATAATCTAAAGTAAATCCCAGAGATGCCATCCAACCCAAGCACACTGCACAACCGCTCCTTGGTCTAGGTAAGGGGAAATGAAAGCTTTGATCCAGCATAGCTAGAAGAACCACAAAACCAGACATCAGAATGGCTCCAGGGCTAGCTATGTGAGAAGAGGCAGAGAAATATTAGAATGTAAAGAGTTAAGCTATGGTAAAACATACTTTTGCTACACTAAAGAAGACTGGTTGATAATTACTGTAGTTTTAGGGCTATTTGAATCAGTGCAGCTGCAACCTCTTCAGTAGTAACCCCTGAAACAAGACAAACTGGGTTTATTGTACTGAACAAGTCTTAAAGCTCCTCCCTGATTGTTAGTAATTGGCAGCAATGGACTTAACAGCCTCTTGACTACCCTTTTTACACTCTACCTGACTGTGCAGCTAACAATTTAAATCACAGATGCCGATCCTTCTTTGTGGCAGCTGCTTGTTAACTACACGTTCCTCTTTTTCTGTCACTGGCTGCTTCCATAACCCTGCAACACCAGGGTTAGATTGGAGAATCACATTTCATCAATATTTAAAATGGAATTAAACCTTGAAGTTTGATTAATGCTACCAGATAGTGAGTTGTAATTACTATTTTGCAAATTGCGATTGTTTGAATATGTTAATATGATTGTCTAAGCACATCTTCACCTTCAGAAGTAATTTTCCCTTTAAAAAAGATTTGAAAAAAATACAAACTCTTTAATCAGTGGTAAATTATCACCCTGTGCACAATTAGGTAGTATGGGGTTCTTCACGTTGTGCACTGAATTTTGTGTCAGCATATTTATCTTTACAAGTTTATCCATTTTTTTTTAGATTTTCCTCAGTAGAATATACAGTCATGGAACAGACTTTGCTGAAACAGGACTAATGTTTACGTTTGAAGGTAAAGAAAACAGCTTTGGCTGAAAATTTTATTGCAGTCTGGTGTCTCCCTTTTCAGTTAGTAAACATTAACAAATTATTTATTCAAAAGTTAGTGAAATATAACAATCATTATCACGACATACAACTAAAATCTTCAAAGAGAGAGAGATTGAGTTAGATCTTAATGGATGAGCTGTTAGAATACATGTAAGTATTGATTGATTCTTGTGAATTATTTCCTTATGCCTCAATCAAAAAAAATCAGTTTTCTACAACCCACAAGATACATTTTGAATATTGTGAGCCACATCCTCAGCCAGCCCAAACTGAGACAGCTCCTCTTTAATTTATATAATTAATTCAAGCTGTTTTCATTAAGCAGGCCCAAAGCATATGGGGCCAACCCTGGTAGCCACCTGCACAACCCATCCCCAGAACACCGTCTTTCCCCAGTGGATGATTGCCCTGGGGTGGAAATCCTAGTGCTCTGCTGTTAGACACTGCTTATGTGGTCAGCAGGTCAGTTGGGACAGAGAATTTTTAGGCACCTAAGACCCCGTTAAGCCCGTTGGTCCTACTGTGTTTCTGTAAGTAGCCGTTTTTGTATTAATTCTTCTTAACTACTTCTTTGTAAGTTTCTTCCTTGTTCTGAGTGGCTTTAGGGGAAGCTGCAAATAGCAGCAAAATTCAAGCAGTGCCTGTCAGAAATGCTGCTAGGTGTATTACGAGGTGCACTCAAGCTGCATCCCCCTCAAAACAGTGGATTTGAGCTCAACATTTCTGCAAAATGAAACCATTTGCCTAATTTCCAGTGTTCAGCTAATAGTGGCAGAAGAGACTTCCCCAACTACACACTCCCATTTTCTCTCTCAAGGGGGATTAGAAACAGCTGAAAATTCAGGGTGGGCTTGCTTCAGGGTGCTTCCAAAGGATGGCTTGAAAATACACTGTAATTTAGGTGCATTTAGTCTTCCTATATTAAATGCATATTGCAAAGTTTAGAATGATTTTCTCCTAGCTATCGCATTTCTGTATTGCTTCTGGAAACCTCAGCTGTTAGAGATTTCTTGGGACTCTTCATGCTTAGGTGTGTGCCGTGATGCAGACTGCCAGCAAAGAGCACTGTTGTCTTGCAGGCTTCAGGATTTGCCCTCTACCCAGTGCTTCCTCAGGAAGCCACCCAGAGGTGCACAGGAGGATGCACTGCATTGAACCTAGAACATTTAGTGGCTCACCCAGGGAAGAAGCTACACTGTTCACCTTAAAAGCCTTCTGGTCTGACTGTGTTAGGCC